GGAAAAATTCAAAATTTCCTACCAATTGAAAATGTTTAATGAGTCCCACGCGCTCATATGACCTTATTATGCAGTTGCCAGCGCTGTAAAACATAAAAAAAGAAGTAAAGCCTAACAGGGGCACCCTCAAACCACCCACCCTTCACAAAAAGGAATAGAGAAAGAAACACAGAAACCCTCGAGAAAAACTTCTTAAAGTGACGTTGTTGTTTTTTTTTGTTTTTTTTGCAAGAGTGAAGAGCTTTACTTTATGGCGCTGGCAACTGCACAAGGTCATAATTGTGAGCGTGCTATGAAGTAAGACCAGCCCGTGGCGCCCTCTAGCTACCTTTGTATGTTGTGTTTGAGTAAACAGAAGCACGTCGACACAACAATAGTCATTTAGTGCAGAGAAAAAGTAAGACAGACAGAAACATTACGCAGAGGGAAAATAAAGCAGGATCTACCAGCAGCACCCTCCAACCACCCGCCTTCAGCCACCTGCCGCCTAGGTTAGCGTAGAGATGTACACAGAAAGAACAGGTAAGAAACAGACAGTAAACGACATTAGACATGACATAATAATATTATAACAGCTGAGTGTAGGCGGCAATGTTTATTATTCATCCACTTAAAACGACGCATTTGTTGTTAATATGCAGTGGGTCTGTTTATTAACCCATAACTCTTCCGGTAAGGCGGAGTGTAAGTGTATAGGTTTATTTTTTTCAGTTTTAGTAGATGTTTTACAGCGCTCACAACTGCATAAGGTCATATTTATTATGAGCGCCAAGGGGTGGATGTCAACAGAGAAGTCCTTACAGGGAACCAGACTTACTCTGCTCACCTCTCTAGCTTCAACAGCACAAAGTCTGCTTCGACTGTCAAAGCACGACGGAAATAGCGGGTCACAAGAGTGTGACAAACATACAAAAGAAGTAGAGGAAAAATGACGATAGCAAGGATTACTTGATTAGGAGAGAAAAAGCAGCAGTTCCCTGTTGAAGTTCTGGCACAGTTATGAGCGTGACATTGATGAATCAGCCCATTTACAACAACAATATTAGAGTGCATAAGAACATGGTTAATATCCCCCCCCCTTGCATAAGAACATGGTTA